CGCAGAAATCGCCACCTGTTCCCTTCAGTTCAGTGTCTTCCCGCTAGGTGCCGTTCGTTTTCCTGGAGTCGCGAATATGTTTAAGCCCCAAAAAACGGCCTGCACTGTGGGAATGTGTATGCTGACAGGATCTGCTCAGTGCCACAGCGCAGACTATGGTTGAAACGAAACCCCAGTCCTGTCGCTCGCCGACCTACCCCTGTACATTGCAGTCATTGGCTCTCCCAAGCGCTTGGCGAGAGAGCTCCGGATCTTTTAGAGGGTAGGTACCCGTCAAAAGATGTATGTGAGCTCACTTTCTTTCCTAGCACGAAGACAGCCAATTACGGTCATCTACAAAAAGACCCCAGAAAACACTTCAATGTAAAATAATGGCGCGCAGGGACGACAAGGAGGTGAAACATCAAGCTCATTATCTCTGATCAGATTGCTTAATATAATTCTTTGCTTTCTCATTCAATGAGATCCTGCTCATTGACTGTCTCCATGTTGTTCTGGAAAGTGAACTCAGAAACGTTTTTTTTTTCTCTCTAGAGGGCGGAAAAGAGCGAGAAGAGATACGAAGGGCAAGAACTGACGAAGCGCTGCGATATTTTTAGTTCTCCTTCTTCGTCCTTCGTATCTTTTGGTGCTGTTTTTACGCGACAAATAATAATAATAACTTTTTTTAATATGGGAGACATCAGGAAAATTTGCTGTAGTGGTTTGACTATCATCTCTTTACAAGAGGAAGCTTACTACATTCTACACGCAGGACATGAGGTAAAAGTAGGCGCTGCAATTAGGTACAATAGATACAGGAAAAACATTGTCTGGCCCCTGCTGTGAAGTAAGCTCGCTTTACGGTATTCACTACTTTCTTCGAGCTGAAAATTACTAAATACAAAAACGGACATGACTCTATCAGTATATTTCAGCGAGTTAAAATTAATTATATGCCACCGACTTTAATTTAATAAAAAACAATATTACGACATTTTTTACTATTTCTTGTTGGGGCAACATTTTTTCCTAGATATGTAGAATTTCCAGGCTATGCTTCGTTGAAGTTATACGAAAAATAAAAATAACTCTTCACAACTGTTTGGTTGTGCTTTGTTCGAGTAGACAATTGTTGTCGCGTAATCGACACGCCATCACCTCGGCTTCAGCTGGTTTCCAAAATATACGCCAATAGTAAATGCACTGAGTAACGGCAAGGACCCTTAATGACTAGGGGTCTTAACCCCCGGTGTAATTTGTTGGATACTATTGCATGCGCGGACTTCATTTAATTTGTTAGAATACCTGCACGGCCTGAAGAGGCATGCAGGGCAGAAACGCACTTACATACAAAATAATCAACGCAAATGACAAAAAAAAAAAAAAAGATTAGATATTACACAACGATTCAAAACTGAAAACATTACAGTCACACAGGACGGTCTATTAAAATACTCTTGCACCTGGTAAAATAAGCCACTCTGGGTTGTGTCGCATTACTGACATTTGTTACCCCCTCGTTTCGATGGGTTGCCACATTCTCCCATTCGTCCATCCACACTCTAAAAAAAGTATGTGCGTCTACTTTCACGCACAACACTTGGAGAACCTATCAAAGCAACTTGCGGGGGCAGCTCAGCGAATGACGATGCCGAAACATCTGTTTAGACAAAAAAAAAAAAAAAAAAAAAAAAAAACCGCATCTCCATGTGGTGAATGATGTTGATTGGGGCGAAGCTTTGGTGGTGCTTGTCTGCTTAGATGGTGAGCCACAGCATGCCGAGCCTTTATTTCGTTTTCATCCATGTCACGCTGCGGTCAAAGGCTCCAATGCGTATATAACCACGTTCCATACCACACATTTTCTTTCTGACATGGATGAAAACGAACGAAAGGCTCTGCATGCTGCGGCTCATTGCTACGCAGACAAGCCCCCACCAGAGCTTCGCCCCAATTAACGTTATTCACCACGTGGAGATGCGGTTTCTTTTTTGCCCTACACGAGCACGGGAGCACGTGCTCACGTGCTCGTGAGCACGTGAGCGCGTGAGCTCACGAGCAGGAGCCCGTGCACCCGACGGCGGACGGGCATACGGACATGGCTAGCCGCTAAGGAGCTTCGCCCCTAAAGACGCAGACTGAGTTGTGACATTAAGCAATGGAAGCGTGACGTTTTGGATTTCTTAATGTCACAACTCAGACTGCGTTTTTTGGTCTAAACAGATGTTTCGGCATTATCATTCGCTGAGATGCCTCCGTAATTTGCGCTGATTGGTTCTCCGAGTGCTGTGCGTGAAAGTAGACACACAGATGTTTTTGGAGTGCATCCGGTATATTGATACACGCTTTTTTTTTTCAGACAGATGTGATTTTTCGAGCGCAAGTTCACTCTTGCGTACGGTAACTCTCGTCGTTTGAGCGTTTCGCAATATATAATATAATTTTGTTTATTTAAAAGACATTGCAGTCCCCATATGTGGTTACATAGTACCTTGAGTTGTGATTTAGCATTCTTCACGATACTCACAACCTGCCGAGTCCGTTGGAAGAACAGTGCGTGCCCCCTGATCATGGCGATGAGCCGACGTCCTACATGGAAGGTTCTCCTGTGTGCAGTTGACCTTGCAGCAATATCAAACAAACGCTGTTAAAAAAAAAACAAAAAAAAAAACCGCCTTTTTTATGCATTTCTATTGGGAACGTGAGCAACCAAAAGCGTCGCCGTGGTCGGTTTTCTACCTGCATTCCCTGACTAGTCAAACGCAAACTACGCCTTTAGAGGGACCAATAGACCGATCTCACAGCTAGTTTGAGTACGCCACCGCTGCCGCCATGCATCGTGGGAGCTGTAGTCTTTCTGCACGCGCGACAACCCCGCTGGATCTCTGCGCGAGCAGAGCACGAGGCGATATACAGTTATGGCGGCGTCAGGCATGCGTGCAACGCTTGGTGAGATCGGTCTATTCTGCTTTCATCGACTGAAATATGAGACACATATACCAAACTCAAGAGTGACTGTGTTGTTTTAAGAACATTATGGCCTCAAACTTTCATCGTGTTTCTTGCACACACCTCTGAACTCGTTGTTCGCAACTCCTGGTCGCGAAGCCAAGATAGGAACCAGAATAGGGCGCCATGAAAATACCTCGTCGCCGATCATTCGTGTCCGCCACATCGTCGGTCGGAGGAAGTCTTGTTCTGTGTGAACAGTTCTTTAAGGGATTGTCCGGTGATATCTGGAAGTTACTAAGTTTTCGCGCTGGTGACGTAGAGTGGGCTGACATATACTCAGATGTGATATTTATTTAATTAAAAGGCGCCTCAATATTTGTTAAATCAATACCGGATATCAATACGCAACTCCACGCCAAGTTTCACAAGTATGCATGGCTGGTCGTGTTGTGATGTCACACCAGGCATGGTAACGTCAATGGGGGGGGGGGGGGGGGGCGTTGATTTATCCCCGGTTTCGATCAACATGGTTGATGGTGCGCACAAAGTACATCGTCAAAGTACTGAGCTTTCCTCAATACCTTAAATGGTCTTTCTCTGAACGAGGTTGTTTTACCTAGTTTTACCGAGACAGCGGTGAAGGACGGTCGTGGCCTTTTTTTGCATGGTGTTAGGTCAGAGCTTCGGTTTGGCGAACGAAAACGCCGTGTGTTTTGCGGGTACAATTTAAGCAGGTGGGCACTGTATAAAATTCAATTACTTGCGCGGAGGATGATTAAAAATGCGGATATAGTGCGGAAGATACTTCTAAAAGCAATGACAAAATAATTGAGTTGTTTTCTGGAATACAAAAATTTACTGGACAATCCCTTTAACCATTTCCGACTAAGGCACCCTCATATTGTCCCACGGAAGCCAACCTTACAGAATTACGAGTAAGGTGCCGCAGAACATTTGTGCCGTCACATGCCTTGAGCGCTGTCAATGGAAGTCACTCGATCAGGGTAGTTGACCAGGCGGCGAGTACGTCCCTGGAATTCGTGACTACCACACGGTGTGCATTGAGTGCGCACTCGTGCAGGAGCCTCCATCCTCTCGGGTTTGTGTGAGGTGCAAATCGGTGGAGCAAACAAACAAATAAATATACTTACATTTTTTTTAATTTTAGAATTTCGAACGTTTGGAGGTAGGGAAAACACATGGGCTCGATGTGTTGATGTCACAATTTAATTGTGCACAATGTAATCACACTGAGTATCAGGAAAACACTTTTGAACGTTTCTGTCACTAAAATATATGTAGGCTTTTTGAACAGCCTAATCTTGGTACGATTAACTCCTTAATCTATTACTGTATTACTCTATATCTGAATCTCGCAAATCTGTCATCGTCCAGGCGTGTGACTATTCGAAACTTCCATGATTTTGTCGCAAAATGTTTGGAAATCTCCGAACATTTGAGTTATTTTTGTAAGCTTGGTTAAATCGTACAAAGTTAAGGCCGGTACTATTTCTATTCTTGGACTTGTGGTCTCAGCATTTTAAAAACCGTAGCTGGAAACCAATATAACGTCACGAGACTGTACTAGCGTACCTAACTAAGGTTGATCTCGCCCCCTTTTTGCATTTTCACCTTGCTTCTATTATTTATTAATGAAAGCCTCCGATGTATGCTATTGGTGATACATTGCTTCGGGCATAGGACACCGGCAAAGACGAGGACACTCGGGGGCGTCCGTCAGGCAAATGATCTTGATTCAGTGGGCGCAAGGTCCCATCTCGAGGGAGGCTTGACAATGAAGACGACGAGGTAGCAGTTAGTGACCGATATAATAATAATCTGGAAACTAGAAGATGACTAAAGAAGAATAAGTAGAACGCTGCAGGTACCTCGTCAGAAGATACTTTAGCCTTTGGTCCCAATGTAACATGTTAGGAGAGCGCTTTCGCCATAAAGACAAAGCATTTGATTGATTGACAGCTTCTCTCGGGGGATTGACAGAAGCATGGACTCGTTTCTATGTGGAGCGTACCTACGTGTCAGTTGAGGTTTCCTATGTCGCACAGGTGTTCTTTCACGGTGACATGAGCGACGTCGTGCAGAAGAAGGAGCGAGCCTTCTACGTGGTCAACCACCAGTCCACATGTGAGCGCTTCTTTGTGAACCATGTACAGAGTTTGAACTGCCCCCTCAAGAAAATCCACGAAGGTTCATTACTCGTTCACTTTTGAAGCGAGTTCTCCTTAGAGGTCGCATCTATTCAGACGTAATGTAGCTCTAAGCTGGGTGTCGAACCAAACCCGAACCGAAAACCGGAGCAAAACCATTATTTTTGATCAACCAGCGACAATTGATGATATGAACTTTTAGCAAACCGTTACCGTGTTCCGCGTACCGCACTACTGGAGCCTTTGAAGCATACTTCTAAGCGCGCCCCCCGCAGTCAAGGAATCACCTGGGCGCTTGCTTAAAAGCATGCTTCAATGGCTTTGGTAGTACGGTACGTGGAACAGGGTAACGATTTGCTAAAAGTCCCTCATAAAACTGAACCGGAACGAAATCATAATCTCGTGTGGCGGTTACTGGTTCATTGAAAAACGATTCGGTGTAACAAAATGTGAGTCGTGTCGGTCGACGGTACAGCGCACTCGAAAAACTGTCGCGCAAGCTTGCAACACACACTTAAGACAATTTTCGCATAGAAAAAAGAAAACGAGGAAAAACGAAAAAAAGAAAACTCCTTTCTAACGACTATAAAACTTGCGGCTAGACTTTTTTGTGACACTTTTATAGACGGCGCGCTACAGGCACGTAGCCAGGATTTTGTTTGGGGGGGGGGGGGGGGGGGGGGAGGGGCGCCCATGAAAAAATGTTGTATGATTGGGAGGGGGGGAGAGGAGGTCCCAGCAAAACGGAAGATTTCGGGGGAGAGGGGGGCGGGCCCCATGGGCCACCCCCCTGGCTACGTGCCTGGCGCGCTAACAGGTTTGTCCTCCAGTTGTATAATGTTCTCGGCTTCGATAATTTCCCTACTTGGTTGACACTTCTGCCTAACACGGTACGCTGCGGTAGTTGAAATGCGCCGAACACCCACAATCTCGAGTGTGAATTCCTTGGTGGCCGGGGTTGGCTTTGACGAGGATGTTGTTTTGTTCACGAAGGCGGTCATTGAGACACCGCCCAGCTGGTCCTACGCAGTATCTTTCACAGGAAAGAGGGGATGAATCAACGAGGTAGAGGGGCTTAGAGTGATAAACCGGAAGTTCGGAAGTGGCACCCCGCCGGTTGCCGCCATATTTTACGCAAATGTGACCACTCGTCACGTGACCTCCCAAGAGCCGTGACGTCCCAGCTAAGATGGCAGCGCCCAGAGCTGGCGGATGCGAGTTTGTTCGGTGCGCGGTAGCCGTGATGTGCAGCTGCTTTCCGACGACTTCGGGCTTCTTCGTGCTCGGTGACGCAGGTATAATGTGAAAATATGAAGGAATGAGACTTTATACCGTTTTTGCGCAAGATCGCTCTGGATCATCTGGATATTAACGCCTGTGAGACAGCATCAGCTCTGCATCGCCGTACCGGTGCTTGGATTCCGGGATGTGTCCGAGGATCGATAGAACTTTGAGTGCTTTTAACATGAAATTTTCGCATTCTCTTAGCTTTGTTTGAACGTTGAATTATCTAAGAATCTACGCGAAATGTATACGTCGCGTTAGGGCCTAAGGGAAGTTGTTTCAGCCCTCCGTCACCGAACAACCATAGCAACTTTTAGCGAGGAAGCTCCTGCGATTTTAACCTTTTGTGCTAATCTACGATTCTACATTCGATCGCTTTTCTTCCTTTTTTTGTGTGTGTGTGCGAGTGCGCAGTGCACCCTTATTTTCAGCTACGAGGTTGGCGTTTTATTGAGTATGGGGAAGAACAAATCGTTGCAGGCACCTGCTTCAAAGCTTTTTTTGGTGCATGCATAGATTAACTGCGCATTTTTTCTGTTTTGTAGGATTTATTGCAGCTATACTCTTTTCCATCAAGAGTGCATTGTATTAGTCGGTCAATTATTTAATTGTTCTAATTACCTGGATAAGATGATTCATATTTGTGTTCATCCCTTGCCTGGAGAGCAGTCTTGTTGAAAAATGTTGACTACCATTCCTTTCGGTCTTTTCAATAGACTCTTTTTAAAAGTGTGGGCTGTCTATACTTCGCATCACCGTAACTTGGAAAAGGCCAACCGCCACAGCCCCCTCGAGCCAATCAGAGAGACGGAGCGAAGGTGTGTGACAAATCTGTGCAGGCGAGCACTCTGGTGATATGCTGTCATGTGCCTCTCTCCAATGTGTGTATTGACTCACCGAGACCGTAGCCTTTGCCGTCTGCCAAATTCTGATGAAACAAATTACAGTAGCTATACTGTAATTACCCCAGGCTTTCAAACTTTGGGTATTTGTTCGACAAGAATGTTATGTCCGCCATCCCTGTGAATTCGGCTCAGCACCTATTGGACTCGAATGCTGCATTGGCCTTCGACGTGAACTGGGGCCCATTCGTGTGCTTTGCGCCGAAAAAAATGGTGACGGTTGTGTTGCTTGATAAGGTTCTGCAAAGGGTCTATTGTGTCATGCATATAGGAAGTGTCATGCTATATAACAATGCATCAACACATACTATTAAACTATATGGTCAGAGGTGTGTTTGTTTTTTCAATTAACAAGTTACAGCAGTGTGCTTTAATGCTATTATCATGTGTGTAGTTTTAAGTATCCTCTCTGCAATGCCTACGAAGGCCCCTGGAAAGAATAAATTAATAAATAACATTTTCACATCACTGGAGTTGGTTTTCGGATGCACCACATGTTCAGGAAAGGTTGATTGAGTGCAGCCCCTTGCAGGAAGTCTGCCAGTCTGGTATGACCCCTTAATTAATATTGAAGGGTCAGAGAAGCGAGTGTCCTCGTAAGGTCCAGAGCGTGCAATGGACACAATTCTCGGTGTGTAGACTCTCAAGGCATGAAGGCAAGCGGAAATATGTTTATCTGGTTAGTGTATCAAATATGTTTATTTCCACTTGATTACAAAATTATTGATTCTTAGTAAATGGTTCCATAACGAGTTCTTTCTGCGACAGTCTCGTGTCAGGCGTTCAGTCGTAGTACCTGTGGACCTTGTTGTCGGACGACGCTCCTGGCACGTCGGTGTTCAGTTTGGTCGAGTGGCAACTTTGACCGACTGATGCTGTCTTGTAATCATACGTCATGTGCACTGAAGCTGCAGGGCTGGCTTCTAATCCGAAAATTTTCCTGGTAGTTTTCGGCATCAATGTAGCAAGTTCGGGCATGTATTGCTTACGTGGCTGTGCCTTTTGCTGTACCGTTGACTTGAAAGCTGGCAACAATTTTTGTTTGCTATCCAAGTCTGGTGATGCTTGCAGTTCACTTTTGAGAGCAACCAACCATTCTATTCCTTCAAGTCACTCAGGGGCATTCTCCCTGAAAGTTGGAAATTGTGTGCTTCGTGGAGTGGACACAGAAAATTGGTGTCAGCAAATTTTTAGGTATTGTCCTTGGACGACAACCGACACCAAATCCACTGTCACTGCATCGCCGCTCACCTGCTTTGTCGTGCTTACCTCTTGTTGAGCTGATGGACATGAGGAGGTTTGGGGTAATCAGGGATTCAGAATCTTCGATTCAGCACCTTCGGCATCAGGGACAAAGGTCGCCGAAGGTAATCCTTAATCTCCCGTGGTCGCTCCTCGAGACGTAATCGAGGGTCGTTTGGCACGAACCCTCGCCGACCAATTCATTGGTACGGGCTGCTTTGGTAGACATGGTAGGCTTCATGCAGTGGTAGCAAAGTGGTTTTCGGTCGCACATTCGCATCACCTACGTTTTCCTCGGTGTACTTTGTTGAGCACAGTCCTACACACAATGTCGGGAATGCTTCAGCGTTAGAGTGTCTCATTGAATTGGCATTGAATACTAAGGGGCAGCCGGTGGCGGTCGTCGTGCCATTGTGGCGTAAGTTGCCCTTGGTTTGTCAGATGCCGCTTCGCTCGCAGAAGTCTCGGTTGAAATACCTGTCAAACTTGTTCCGAAACAATCTCGGCAATCAAAATAAAAGCCGGGCAACTGATGGCAGGAAGTAGCTTCCTGATCTCCTCCCAGACAACGTCGTGGGTGATGTCGTGGATGCCTGGGAGGCTGGCGTCGAAGTAGTAGCTGGACAACTCGAGTGTCGAGACGCCGGGAAGTTGTTCATAGTGGCAGGCTCGGGCATGCAGTGCACATTCCATGTTGGAAGCCTCAGTGATATGAACACTTCGACTGTTGTTGGGGGGTTGCGGACAAGGCTGCCGAAGGTGTTGTCCCTCACGTGAGGCGCATGGGATTCTTAGGTTCTTGTCTTCTGTAGCATCAAGGTCGGCGTGGGCGTGGGCGCTCGATCAAGCGCAAAACATCCTCCACGAGTGCGGTGGCGCTCTCATTGGGGCAGTGTCCTGGACAGAATCAAGAATGCGGCTCTCTTTCGTTGATGTTGGCTGACGGATGCGCGCTTCAGCTTGATCTTGCAAACTTCCCATGACGTTAAGGAGGATCCATGGTTCTCAGACCAGCGCCGGCAGTTGCTTCCACCAGAAGTATAGGTTCTGCAGGAGCTGGTTGTCTGTCCACCCAATGTGGCGGGCGACACTGTCATATTGTTCAATCCAGTCCTTGACGTCTTCATACAGCTTGCGTGAAAAAGCGTCGGAGTGTGATTTGCGACGGGCATGCAAACAATGGTGGGAGGGGACACGGTTTGCTGCTACAGGTTTGTCATTGTTGGCTTAGTCAGCTTCGGATTTTCTGACAGGAGACCGAATTCCGGTGGTTTTTCCTGGTAGCAGCAACTGGCTCGGATTTCAGGTGCTTCGTGGTGTATTTCCGAGGTTACTCCTTGTGGTACTCGGTCGTCTTGCGGTTGTTCTGCCAGGCTCGGGTCAGGACTTTGCCTACGGCTCGACAGGGGGTAAAAGACGCAGAATAGTCCGCCAGCCGTGTCCCATTATCGGGTAACTCGGCTGAAGAGCCGCCGGGTTCACACAGAGTGAAGGGCTACGGGTAAAGTGCCCAGTACCTCCACCTGAACATACGATTACAGCTGAGCAT